CTTCCCTCCCCTTTTCCCCTCCCTGACGACGGGGGGGGGAGGGGGAGGGCCTCAGGGAAGGGGGGGCGAGAGGGGGGGGGATGGTGGGGTATACAGGGGCGGGGGTCCTGGGTCAGATTACCGCCCACCCCGGGGGCCCAGCCAGTGGCCCTCCTTCCCCTCCCCTGGGCGGTCCCCCCTGTGGAGAAGGGGGGCAGGGGGTGGTCTCCCTGCCGGCAGGGGAGCTCAAGAAGACCCCTCCCCCCGCGTAGGCCACGGCTCTGTGGCCCCGACCCCAGCCCAGGCCCCAGCTCTGGCCTCGGCCCCGGGGCTGGCCCCAGCCCTGGCCCCCTGGCCCCGCCAGCCCTAGCACCGCCCCTGGCGCCCCGACCCCGGCCTCGGCCCCTGCTCTGGCCGCGGCCCCGGCCCCAGCCCCGGCCGCGGCCCTGGCCCCGGCCCCGGCCCCGGCCCTGGCCCCCCTGCACGGCTCCGGGGGCCCCGGCCCCGGCCCCGGCCCCGTCGCCTCCCAGACGCCTGCCTCCGAAAAGACACTCGGCTCTCCTCCTCCTCCTCCTCCTCCTCCTCCTCCTCCTCCTCCTCCTCCTCCTCCTCCTCCTCCTCCTCCTCTTCCTCCTCCTCCTTTCCTCCCCTCCACTAGGACCTTCGGTGGAACACCCTATGGGGCCACGAAATGTGTGAAGGGGGCGCCTGCGGTGGGGCTTTCTATGGGGCCACGAAACGCGTGAACGACGCGTCGAAACGAGGCGGTGCCTCAATGCGGGCGCGACCACTGGGCTGATGATCAGGATACGGGCAGAGGCATGATCATGATGACGATGACGATAACGCGGGCAGAGGCAAGGAGCGGAGCAAGGGAGGAGGGAGCGGGACTAGGAATGACGCGAGGCGTTGCAGAATCAAAACAAGAACCCACCGCCACAGGATGGTTGGGAAAACCTATCCTGGGAAGGAACCCGATCATGCGCAGGCCTGAATATCGCAAGGCAGGCAGGACAAAGGAGACAAAGCTCCCCACTGAGCCACGAAACGTGTGAGGGCGTGCCGAAATTAGGCGGTGCCGCCATGCGAACGCACCCACTGGGCCTTCGGTGGAGTTTCCCATGGTGACCACGAAAAGTGCGAGGGGTGTGCCAACATGAAATGGCGCCGCCGTGCGAACGCTACCACTGGGGCCGTCGGACCCTATGGGGCCACGCAACGCGCGAGGGGTGTGCCGAAATGGTGGTGGAACCGCATGCGGACCCTGACCCCGCTGGGGCCTTCGATGGAGTTTTCTACTGGGCCGCGAAACGTATGAGGGGGTGCGCCGAAATGCGAGTGGAACCACACGCGGACCCTGCCACTGGGGTCTTCGGTGGAGCTCTTGTAGGGCCAAGAATCGTGTGAGGCGGGCGCCGACATGGGGGTGGAACCGCATGTGGACCCTGCCACTGGGGCCTTCTGTGGGGCACCATGAGGGGCCACGAAACGTGTGAGGGGTGCACCGACATGGAATGTGGAACTGCACGCGGGCCCTGCCACTGGGTCTTCGGTGGAGCTCCCTGCGCTGCCACGAAACGTGTAGGGGTGCGCCGAAAAGGAAAAGTGGAACTGCACGCGGCGGACCCTACAAGTGGCGCCTCTGGTGGAGCCCCCCTTTATACGGGGCCACGAAACATATGAAGGGTGTTCCGAGAGTGGTGTTGGGATTGCATGCGTACCCTGCCACTGGCGCCTCCGGTTGAGCTCCCTTTGATGCCACAAAACGTGTAAATTATGTGCCGAAATGGGTGCGTCGGCGCCATGCGGGCCCTGTCGTTGCGGCCTTCGGTGAAGCTCCCTGCGGGGGACGAAACGCGTGACGACTCTGGCATGATTATGAGACTGATGATGCTGATGGTGATAACGACAACGACGATGACGATGATGGTGGTGGTAATACTGGTGATGATGTTGGTGATGCCAGTGATGCTGATGCCGACGGCGTCGATTATGACGATGCTTACAATATTGTTGATGACAACGGTGATGGTGATGAACATGATAGTGGTGCTGGTGGTGGTGATGGTGGCGATAGCGATGGCAACGACGATGACGATAATGATGATGGCGACAAAACATGGCGCTGAAGATGCGGACCATGCTGACAGTGGCAACGACCATGACAATCACAATCACAATCGTGATGGTGATGGTGCTGGTGCTGATGATGGTGATGGCGGTTGTGATGGTGTTGGTGGTGAGAATAGTGATGGTGGCGATCATGATGGTGGTGATGGTGCTGGCGATGGTAGGAATAGCAATGACGACCCCCCCCCCCGATCAGATCTGCAACGCACCAGGCCACCATAGAACAAGATCCAAGTGAGTCGATTCGCATAGCACGCAAACGGCGGGTTAAACATACAGCTGGCGCCGCACACCAGCGAACCACCTCCGAAGGGTGGGCGCCAAAGAGGGGGCATAGCAGGCACCGCAGGGAGGAGGAGGGGGGGCGGCCGATCGCGTGATCAGGCTTCGACTAAGCTGGCCACCGAGCGAACCCCAGGAAGGTCAGGGGTGAGCAATGGCAAAACTGCGAACCATCCCTTGTTAGCACACCATTGCTTTCCCGTGTTCCCGATCATGTTCTAGTGCCCTGGTCCCCTCGCAACAGACAGCCTAGACATCCTTGGCTTCATCAAACAGCAGAAACGAATGGACATCACGAAAACAACAAACAACTCTTCAGGGCATATGTGCTTAAAATGATGTCCATGCGCCCTGCTGGCAGTTGAGGCCACCTCGGGCTTCTCCGCGGAGGCGGATGCGGCGGCCAGGCACTTGGCCAGGCTGGTTTGAGCGGCGGAGGCTGCCTCGGACAGGCCCTCTGGGTTGTAGGTGATCTTCTTGAGCAGCGGGAACTCCTTCCTCTTACACCCCTCCTCGAAGTCAGCCTACATGGTACTAGCTGGCCCATCATCGGGCACTCGGAGGGAAGCTGCAGCCTCAAGCCGAGCTGCACCATCTCTGGGAATAGCGGGCGTGGGATGAGACACTGCTGCATCAGCCACCTTGGTGCGCCAGTGCCCGTGCAACTTCGCAGCGACGGCTCCGAGCTCATCCTTAATGCTCTGCGGGACGCTTCCCACGAAGTTGCCATCAACGAACTGCCAGAGGGAGATCGGCTGCTTCTCAAACTTGGCCGCGGCTGTCGCCACAGCAACGAAGGCCGCGCTGGAATGCTGAGCTTCCAACACTTTCTAGATCAGCACATACAGGAATTGATGTCTCATATTGGTCTGCTGCGTTCTCCAGGCTGGGAACGTGTTTCTCGAACTCCGTTTTTTTCTTGGAGCTGAGACGACGACGCTGGCGCTGCAATTGGTCGGCTGCACTGGGCGTGTTCGCGCCAATGCTTTCTAAAGTCAAAGGCCGACGATTTGGCCATTTAAGGACCCCAACGCTGCAAGGTAACGCGTGCCGTTGGTGCCCACCGCTTCCTTCCAGACTATGACCGGCTGGAAGCAGATCTGCACCTCGTCTGCCTCGCTGGCGTTGGTGTCGTTCTGGTCTCCGTGCCCACTCGCTTCAACTTGGATGACGTCCACGCAGCCGTTGCCGTTCACTGATCGACGGTCCCATATGTCGCGGAACCTGCCATTACGTGGGGGCGAGCTACCATGCTCAGCTCCAGGGGCGGCATCCTTGGGCTGACTGGCACGCGGGAACACACTGCCACAGGAGTTATCAAATTGGTGACCCCCAGACCCTGCCGATGTCCAGCCGCGGCAGCCAAAGACAGAGCAGCAGAAGTGCCATGTGCTGGTCCACTTCGACATGATGCCTGATGCTGGCCGAGTGCCGCGGCGACCAGCAGGAAGAACGAAGCGTAAACCGTGATGGTGAGAGTGATCCAGGCGCCCGAGGCTAAGCCGCCGACCTGAGCACCAGAGTGGAAAGCAGACCGAAGCAGCCAGGCCTTTGCAAAAGGCTGCCCTTACACCTCGGCCTCGTGCCTCTGGATCCTGGGCGGAAGGTAAGCTCCGTTTTGAGCCAAGATAACTACGGAGAGGTGGCACGGCTGAGAGGAGGGAGAAGGGGGAGGGGGCAGCAGGAGGAAGGAAGGTGTGGACGCGGGACGCTGTCTTCAACACGAGGACCCAACACCACAGGACGGCTAGGAGCAGTGGAACAAACAAACAAACAAACGAATAAACAAACAAACACAAACACAACCACAGCCACAAACAAACAAACACAAACACAAGACAAACACAAACACCACCAAACAAACACCAACAACCACCAACAAACAAACACAAACACAAACACAAACACAAACAAACACAAACAAAAACAAACAAAAACAAACAACCACACAATCAAACCATCAAACAAACAATTAACAAAACAACCAAACAAAACGCCGACAGAGCCTGAGGTGATTGGTTCGAGGATGCTGGCCGTCCCGGGCCTCCGTGGGCGCTCTCTCCCTCTTTGCAGCGTGTGGTGCGCCCCATCGAGACCCGAGAGGCTGCCTTCCGATCCCCGACCACGCCCTCCTCGGGAGTCGAGCCGCCTCCGTCCCGAAAGGCCACAACGGGAGCGGCTTCGCGCGCTTCCCGCCGCGCTCCCAGAGGCTTCCCAAGCGCCTGCCGGGCCCCGCAGGGCGACCCTTGGGCCTTCTGGAGCTCCCGAGGGCCTGCCACACCGACGCCTCCCAAGGCTGCCCCCCCCCCCCCAAGGCATCCCAAGGCATCCCCCTGGAACTCTCGGGGCCACCCAGAGCCTCTGAGGGCTGCCAAGGTCCACCGTGTGGTCCGCAGATGGGTCCTAGAGACCTCGAGGTGGCCCCCGACCAAGTCCCAAGAGGGCACCAGCACTGCGCCCAAGTAGCCCCAAGATTGCCCCGTGATGCTCCAAGATGGCACGACACCCGCAGACGAAGCCTGCCCATGGACACCTGCTGGCGTTCCCCTCTGAACTACCACCTGCCCACGAGTCAGTCCGAGGAGGGGGGCCAGCGGCAGGGTGCGAACCCCTCTGGATAAATGGAAAAGCACAAAGACGTGATGAGCCCCAGCATGAACAAGATGTTGACAACGTAGTAGCGGGGCTGGCGCCGGATGAGAATGCCACACATCACAGTGTCCTCGCTGCTGGGCGCGTCGTGCTTGCTGAGGGTTGTGAACGCGGGCTGGTCGTGAACGTGCCACTCGTCCAGTTGCAGCTGGCCCTCCATCTCGCAGTACTGGAAGAAGAAGGGCCGGTTGAACTCGCCCTCGTCGCGCATGCTCACGGTGATGGCGAGCCACTGCCAGTCGAAAGGGAAATGCCGCACCTCCTGATCCATCCGCATTGTGCACTTGTAGAGCTTCTGTGCAGCAAGGTGGCCGGTGTCTGGGTTGACTACCTCGGGCGCCGAGCTGGCATCCAAAAGCTGCGACTGGATGGCGTTGGTGATCGTGATGTCGGGCACCGGCAGCTTGGCCTTCTGGCCCTTGGGCCGGCCTACCGCGTTGACGTCGACCCATTCCAGGAAGACGCGGAACTTACACTCGAAAGTGCCTGTGACGAGGTCCACGTTGCGCACGAGCCAAATGCGGAAGGCGATGGAGATTACTTGCGTCTCCTGAACTGATTGGCCGAACGCCGAGTCCCGGGGTCTCGCCACACCGAGGTGGCCTCCCGGCGCTGCCAGAGTGCCCAGGCCGCTCCCGTCAGCGGCCTCTCTGGGCAGTGCTGCTAGCTGCCGAGCTGGCGCTGAGGGCACCTCTGCCTCCACTACTGGGTGTGCTGACGACTGCTGCGACAGGTGTGCCCGCGTGCGTCGTAGCTCGGAAGGCCGAGCCAGGTGGCGTAGATCGCGGCCCTTGAGGCGCAGCGAGTGAATGCCGCAGCAGATGTGCCATGCGACCCACGCGCAAGACAGGAACGCGATCACATATACCTCCTTCTCCCGCGTCTGGCAGTGCCGCATGCCGTCCTTATCGCCCAACTTGGCCACGATAAAAGAGACTATGATGCACGTGCAGAGGACCTGGCAGGACACATGATAGATGTCGAATGGCGTCCAATGCTGGACCCTGGGCAACCTGTGCTCCACCGAGAACCGGAAGGTGGTCATCGTCAGGACGATCTTGAGCGCGTCCACGATTCGCTTGTCCAGGAACTGCGCCTCAACCACGTAGAATGAGAAAACCAGCGTGGCCAAGCAAGCGAAGATGGCGATGACCTGGACGAGGTAGTACCGCGAGCTCCGCTCCACCAGCATCGAGACGCGTGCGCGCCGAGGCGGCAGACCCCCACCGTCGACGTCGAGCGAGGTGGCCCGCAGCGTCCACCCGTCCAGGTTGCCGTTCTGGTCGATGCTCCCACAGCGGCCGCCCACCAGGAAGCGGCCCGGGCAGCCCTGGAGCTCGAGCTCCACCTGCAGCCTCTGGCAGTCGAAGGGGAAGCTGCGCAGGTCGAACTTGTTGTGGATGCGCGCGTGGAACTGAACACGGCAAGAGACGTGCCCCGTCGCGACATCCACGACGCTCACGTCGGAGTAGTCCTCCATCATGATCTTGGTCGCGTTCAGGAGCTTGATCTGCGGTATGGCCATCTGCTCTTCTCCGCTGCCGCCGTGGGACGTGCGCCTGCTGATGCGCCCGTGCCTCTGCATGCGCATCGCTCCCTGGCCGACCTTCCAGTCCAAGAAGACATGGAACTTGCACTCGACGGTGCCGGAGACGGTGTCCAGATCGGTGAGGAACTGGACCGTGGCGCCGATGGAGACGGCCGCCCCGCAGTCCTGCGCGGCGGCGGGGACGCCGCTCGGGCGGCGGCCGAGCTGCAGGCCATCCTCCGCGCCCGCGGCGGGCTCTGGCTGCACGGAGGGGCGCATGATAGCGACCTCCCGGGCGACGGCGGCCGCGTCGTCGGTCTGGGGCTCCTCCTTGCCTGCAACAGGATCTGGAGCGGACTCCCCGGCCCTGTGGCGGCTGGCCGCAGGCCCCCCACGAGCCTGAAGCGCGGTGCTGGCGCTGAGCACCACCCACAGCAGCAGGACGGCGCAAGCGAGAGACAGGTCGCAGACCCGGCTGAACTCCTCGTAGCCCTCCGCGCTGTTGAGAACGCAGCAGAGCGCGGCGCTGCAGCCGATGCAGAAGAGCATGGCCAGATTGTTCAGCGCGACGCGGTCGTAGAGGGTGGTACGAGCGATGCGCGGCAGCTTGCTGGACACCACGAGCTTCGACACAATCTGCACCAGCAGCACGCCCACCAGGATCTTGCCCCTATTCTGGAAATCGTCCACCTCCAGGGCGTAGATGGCGAAGCCGAAGGTGGCCCACAGGCTCAACGACACCAGGTTCAGGACGTAGTAGCGGCTTGAGCGGCGGATCTGGACTCCCACCGAGGCCCACGAGATCCCCTGACGGCGGCCACATGACGACACATCGCCGAGCACGACCCACTCGCCCAACCGCGCCACGTCTGCGCAGTCGAGGTGCTCGATCACAAGGCTCCTGTGCTTGTCGCCCATGTCGGGGAGTATGAGGACCACTTCCAAGACCTGCTCGTCGAACGGGAACTGTCCGAGCTGGAAGTGGACCTGCACCTGCGCCTTGACGTGCACCTTGCAGGTGACGTGGCCGGTGGCGGGATCGACGACGCGCGCGCCGCCCAGGACCTTGGTGGAGCAGCTGATCGCGTTCTGGACCATGAGCTTCGGCCGCTGCAGCAACTCCAGCTGCTCCCCCGAGAGCTCCGAGCCAGCGTCTAGTCCCACCGCGTCGGGGCAGAGCCACTCGAGGCCCGCAACGAAGTCGGCCTGGAAAGTGCCGTCGGCCGGATTCACGGAGTGCACGCTCTGCATCGCGACGCGCAGCATCACCGCCGAGGGCGCGCCGACCGGGCCTGCGATCTGAGCAGAGCCCCGGGACTGCAGCCGCAAGCTCTGCTCCTCGAAGGCCGGCGAGGAGTCGCCGTAGAACGGCTGCGTCTGCCCCAGCGCGGCAGCCTCCAACGACGTGCCGCCCCCGACCGTGGGGCGCACGCCGACGCCGAGCGCGAAGCACACGTTGAAGACCAGCCACAGGAAGACTGACATCAAAGCCGCGTAGACTCGATAGGGCTGCACCACGTATGCACCGTACATCGTCGCCAGCTCACGAGAAACGCCACAAATGACGATGGTGACGAAGAACATGAGCTCGCACGCAAGCATATACCGGTCGAAGTTGGTGGCACTCGCGACGGTGGGCAGCTTGCCAGACGCAGTCAGGAGCTTGAACGCGAGCAGAGTCATGAACAGGGGGGCCAGGATCTTCCCTTGGTTCACATAGTCAAGACCGTCAGGCTGCATGGGAATCACGAAGACCGTGAAGACCAGGGACGAGATCCCCAGCAGGACAGCCAGCACGCTCACGACGTAAAAGAAGGAGCGCCGCCGTATGTCAACTCGAAACGAGGCCATTGCAAGGTCGTCGCTGACATCGGGAGACATAGTGTGTCCTTGGATAATCCATTCGTCAAGGCTCTGGGCGCTGGCGTCAAGCTGGTGGCTGCGGTACACAAAGGCGCGGTCCTTGTCTTTCTCGTTGGGCATCGTGATGTTCAGCAGCAGATGCTGGGAATCGAACGGGAACTGGCGTAGGTCAAAATTCATCTGCACCTTGGCGTGAAACCGATATGTCACCGACACCTCGCCAGTTGTGGAACACACAACGCGCACGCAGGGGCCCTCCTCCAGCACTGACTCTACCTTGTTGTGGATGTCCAGATCGGGGACGTCGATCTGGCCGAGCTTCCCGCCCATCAGCCGCGTCCCTTCTGGCAGGCCGCGCGCCTTGTCGTCGAGCCACCCGAGCGTGACCGAGAACTTGCACTCGAAAGTGGTCGTCATTGGACTGATGTCGTGGAGGAGCCACACGTAAAGGTCCACCGACACGGCCCGGCCGACACTTCGCCCCACCTGAACGGAGCTGCGATCGCACGTGGGCCCTCGGTAGTGGAGGCCCTTCCGGAGGCTGACCAACTGCTGCTGGGCAGCGCCAGAACCAGCCACCTGCTGCTCAGAATCCGCACCTGGGGAACCCAAAATGCTAAGGTGTCGATACCGCTACTCCCCGGACATCTACCAGGGTGCGTTCTGACCAGGATTTCGAAGCGAATCCAGCGGCGGCGACGAGGCCTTTCCAGGAGGCCCAAAAAGGGGAAAAAGAGGGAAGGGTAGAGGTATGGGTACCTTTTCCTCCTCTGAGTACCAGAGCTCGCCAGCTGCAAGAGCGAGCGGTGCTGCATGTGCCGCCTGCGCGAAACGCCAAGCAGCCAGCAGAGCTGCCCGAGCGTCCAGATGCAGAAGAACAGGCAGGCAAAGGCGAGGTCCACAGTGCCAGCAGCAGCAACAGCCGATTGGCCGAGCACTCCCTGTCCGAGCATGCTGGTCACGATATTACCAAAGATAATGCCCAGCACAGTCAGCTGGCAGAACATCGCGTACTGATCGAAGATCGTGGCGTAGGCCACCTTCGGGAGCTTGTTGTCCTGCGAGAGCCGAAAAGTGATCTGCGCGAAGAGGACGGCCACACCGATGCGGAGCCTGTCAAATATGTACGAGTCCGGGAGCACGAAGCCCGTGAAGCTGGATGTGACGATGGCAATCAGAGTGATGAAGACGTTCACGAGGTAGTACCAATATCTTCGGGAGATCATAACGCCGAACTGAATGCGGGCGCGACCGTCCGGGGAGTCGCTGTGCGCGAAGCTGCGCATGATCTGCCACTCCTCCAGGCGAATGCTCTCGTCCACGCGGCAGAACTGGCAGGCCAGCACGCGGTCGCGGTCGCGCCGCGCCCGCAGCCCGAGGACGAGCACCAGCCGCTGGGCGTCGAAGGGGAAGAGACGCATGTCGAGCTCCATCTGGACGAGGGCCTGGTACAGGATCGATGCGGAGCCTGTCAAATATGTACGAGTCCGGGAGCACGAAGCCCGTGAAGCTGGATGTGACGATGGCAATCAGAGTGATGAAGACGTTCACGAGGTAGTACCAATATCTTCGGGAGATCATAACGCCGAACTGAATGCGGGCGCGACCGTCCGGGGAGTCGCTGTGCGCGAAGCTGCGCATGATCTGCCACTCCTCCAGGCGAATGCTCTCGTCCACGCGGCAGAACTGGCAGGCCAGCACGCGGTCGCGGTCGCGCCGCGCCCGCAGCCCGAGGACGAGCACCAGCCGCTGGGCGTCGAAGGGGAAGAGACGCATGTCGAGCTCCATCTGGACGAGGGCCTGGTACAGGATCTTACACGCTACGTGGCCTGTCTCCGAGGAAACGACCCTGGGCCGCGACCGGATCTTCAAGCTGGTGGCCAGGGTGTTCTGCAACTCTATCTCGGGGATGCTCAGCAAGCCCGCCGAGGCCTCATCCAGATCGCCCGTGGGGAGGCCGACTGCTGCCTTGTCCAGCCACTCGACAAAGATCGTGAAGCGGCACTGGAAAGTGGAGTTCAGGGGGTTGACATTGCGGATCAGCTGGATACTGCACGAACAAACCACAACCTGATCCGGTGGGCTTTTAGCGGAATCGGTTTGTTCCTTCGCGACCATCTTGAATCGCAGCTTGCTGCGGATACTTTGCAGCTGACTGTATAGCGTGGGCATGAGGCAGTCGTCTCCATCGGAGATAGAGCTGATAGAGACCACCGAACCATCGCGCTTGCTAAAGGGAGTACCGCAGTCTGAGTCCAAGCTCGCTGTCGATGTGAAGCGACTGATATCAACACGGCTGGATGCAGGGTCCTTGGGACTCTGCAGGGCGGGGCCTGCGCTGCCTGCATCGCTGCGCCCGATCAGGCGCGGGAGCTGCACGTCTGCAGGCGTAGAACTCTGCTTACCAAGCTCTGCGCAACTGGCGATCGCCTCGCCACCTCCCCTGGGCGTTTCGCCCAAGTTCTTGCTACCGGTGCGCCCTCGACCCGCTTCGTCAAATTGCATCCGGCGCGTTTGGTGGACGCATGGCAGCCCAGGGTACGAGGCAAAGTCGACGTGCACCACCTCGAAGCACTCCAGGTCCTGCCTGTACTGCACGTTGTCCAGGGCCTGGTCGCGTCCAGCCGAGCTCGAAAGGTTGAAGTGCACGAGGCTCGAGTTCACCACTCGCCGCAGCCTTCCAGTGCTCACGTCCCTCTCCAGCCTCGACGCCCCCGTTTCCAGCTCATCCGCAAGCGAGCGCAGCGAGGCGACCGTGAACTCTCCCCATAAGCAAACGTTCACGCCACCCATTTCGAGGAGGGCCCGCAGCAGCCCAGGCTCCAACGGGACACTACCGACGGGCTCGAAGGAGGACTCCTGGCCCTTAGAGGGGTCACCAGCGTCTGCGGCGGAGAGCGCCTTGATGTCTGGCAATCCCTTCACCTTGCTCTCATGAGCCTTGCTGGTGTCGGTCCACCTCCAAACGTTGACCTTGTCTGCCTCCTTCGTCTCGAACTCGTCCTCCAGGATTCCAGTCTGCCGCAGCCTCTCCAGCCCTGACTCTACCACCTGCACGCTGCAGTAATGCGTGGTGTAGACGCAAGGGAGACCCGGAAAAGAAGCCGACTCCATGTGCTCTGACAGGCAGCAGTACGTCTCTGGCACAAACTGGAAGTAGTCCTCAGGCGGCGACAGGTCTGAGGGCAGGTCGAGCTCCTCGAAGATACCGCGAATGGCCGTCACCGCGGCGTCTGCGTCATTCGGGTTCTTCTTCTCTGCCAGCAGCATGTTGCGCTGGCGGGTCGTGCCACCACTGAGGCGCTGCTCCACCTCCACGAGCACCCGGTCGCCCCAGCGCAGCTGCACGAACACTGGCTCCACAACGCGCTGCAGGCCCGGGGTGCCCTCCGTCCTCTCCAGGCACGACTCACCCCCCTGGACCTCCTTGAGGAGCGCGGACAAGGATTTCGCCTTCCCCGTCCCATAGCTGGCCGGGTCGATCCCCCCGGCCCGCATGACACCTGCCAGGGCCTCCTCGCTGGACAGCTCCCCTGACCCCAATGCGCGCGTGTCGTGGTCTCCCGCCTTCTCTTCTGCACCCGCGAGGGCCGACGACGGGCTGCTGGACGACATCATCTTGGGCGGGAATTTCACCACACCTTCCTGCAGCGCCTTCTCGGCGTCGCTCCACCTCCAGAAGTGCGTCGTGGTGCCGAGCGAGCTGGTTTCCGACGTGGTGAAGGGTGTGCACCCAGGCAAACCGCACTTGGAGAATAGGTGGAGGCCACCGTCAAGGATGTCGACCTGCACGTGGTGCGTGCGGTAGACCGACAACAAGCTGGGGTAGGAGGGCGACTCAATCTGCTCGATCTCGAAGTGGTAAGTGTCTGGGCGGTAACGGAGCGCTCCGTCCTGAAGCAAAACCTCGCGCGGGATGCCGAGCTCCTCGTTCAGCCCACGCACCACTGTTGCCATGAAGCCACCGCCGTCGCTGGGTTCTTTCTTCTCGGCGAGGAGCATGTTGCGCTGACGCATGCGTCCGTCCACCATCCTTTGCGATTCCTGCACTAGCACGCGCCCGCGCCAGCGCAGGCGGATGAAGACCGGCTCCACGATGCGGAGCACCTGGGAGCTCCTCTGCTGAGAAAGGTCGCGGGTGCCCTCGTGAGCGCCGGGGAACTCCAGGAAGCAGGACTGGCCGCGCAGCTCCCCCAAGAGCTGCGAAATCGTCTTCGCGGAGCCCACGCCAAAGAGCTGGGTGTTCACGCCGTGCTTCTCCAAGAGGGTGCTCAACGCTTCCTCGCTGCGCATCCACGACGCGGGGGCCGCCTCACTGGCCTTCCTCGCCGCGGGCGGAGAATCGAGCATGGAGAGGCGGCGCAAAGGCGGAGACGCTGAAGAATTCATGGCGCCGGAGGGTCCGGACGGAACTGTCTGACCTGGCATGCAGGCAACGTGGGCCTGTGAAAGGGCGGCTGCAGGCCGCAAGTCTGGAAGGAAACCAAGGCGAAACGACTTGGGCCAATGCGCCACGGACCTCCGCACACATGGACGTTCGTTCGCCGCCAGCTTCGCCATACGGGGGAAGCATCACTCACGTGGCCCTCGCAATGGTAAGCATCGAACGACCACTACCGCACGCATCACCCACTGGAGGGTTCAAGTTGCAGCACGCTGCCACCGACCCTCAAGGAGCGTAACCCAGGAAAGCACATACACATATCTATACGTATCTTCGAACGGCCCTGCAAGTGGTGTGATGGCGGTAAAAGGGGGGGAAGGTGGGGGGGGAGGTGGATGCCTGTTTTTGCGGATGGCGGAGAAAGGGGCCCTGTTGCGCAGGGGCCCGAGCCACTCCCACAAACTTGATGCCCCAGGGTGGTGGGTGGGTTGTTCAAAATCGGCCGAACGACTGAGCCCATGTGGCCACAGGCACTGGGCACAGCGAGAGGCTACGCCTTCGTGTTGTCACACGGGGGCATATGCTCGAAGGGCCCTACAGTCAACCTGCACAATAAGGACGCACGATAAGCATACAAGGGCCTTGGAAGGCCACGCCGATACTTTGCGGGCGGGGCGCGGCCTGCGAAGGCGGCCAAGGATAGGCCGACTGGGGAAGGATGCAAGGGTACCCTTGGAGAGCTGCTCATCCTTACTGTGCGGGTTGACTGCATAAGCGGTGTGGTGGTGGTGGAAGGGGGGGGGTTGACGTGGATGCCTCTTCGACGGGTGGCGGAGACGGGGGCCCTGTTGCGCAAGGGCCCTGAGCCACTGCCAGGAACTTGATGCCCCCCCTTCACCGACGGGAGTGGGTCACCACAGGGCAGGGCGGAGGCCCAGAGGCGCGGGGGGCTCGGTCCCTGGGAACCGTCACCAGAACACGAGCTCAGAACGAAAGCGCCACTATACCCACGGGGGGCAGAAATCGGAGCGACCGAGCCAGGCCCCAGCGGACCTCTCTACAGCGGCCGCAGGTGTCTATGAGGCACGCGCGGTTGCTGTCAGCGGCGACGCGAAGGCACGAAGCGGTGCGCAGCTGCCTCTGGGCCACGACGAGGCACCAGCCTGCGCGGTGCGCACCAGAAAACGCCGAGTTGGCCAGGCGTGTGGTGATTATTTGGCGATCTCAGGAGGAGGGAGGGGGGAGGAGGGAACGACAGGGAGAGGCCGCTCAGGGGGGAAGCGTCTTCCTCCTCCTCCTCGTCCTCCTCCTCCTCGTCCTCGTCCTCGTCCCCACCACCTCCTCGTCCTCCTCCTCCTCCTCCTCCTCCTCCTCCTCCGCCTCCTCCTCCTACTCCTCCTCATCCTCCTCATCCTCCTCCTCCCCCTCCTCCTCCTCATTATCCTCACATGTGTCAAGGCTGTAACCACAAAAGAAACTTATGGAGGCCTCGCGTGCCAAAACCGCTGACGGCGCCTCACTGGGAATGGGACTCCATCTACAGGACTCCAAAAGGTGTTGTCGGAGCAAACGGGGCCGGAGCATTGCGTCGCCTCGTCGATCGGAGCAGATCGAGCCGAAAGATCGTGCCGCACCGTCGAGGTATCACCGATGCATCGGCGACGTCGGGTGGAAAAAATCGGGCTCCACATCGAGCCGCATCGCCGAGGCGTCGGCAATGCGGCGCGATCCTCCGACCCCGTCCGCTCCGACCCCGTCTGGGAGGCCAGGGCGCCATCCCTGGAGCAGGGAGCACCCTCTCTGGGACTGCGCTTCAGTTGGGCATGTCCCCGCACAGGCGGACTTCGGACGCAAAAGAAAAGATAATCAAAAAAAAAACTCCGAAATAATCAACAAATATTTAAAAAAAAAAAAAAAAAAAAAAAAAAAAAAAAAAAAAAAAAAAAAAAAAAAAAAAAAAAAAAAAAAAAAAAAAAA